GTAAAAAGTTTCCTGATTGATTACGGACTGGCGTCTTGTGTCTTTTCGGGGAGCGGCTGCTGTGAGCTTACACCATTGTACTTTGGATATAGTACGAGGCTCATTGGAAAAGACAACAATGCTCAGTAACAGGGAAACATGAAGAACACGCAATGGGCAGATTGATTTCTTCCAACGGGAAAAGAAACAACAGACAACAAGAGGTCGCTAAGCAGTTCTTTGCTAAAACTCTGTGCCTCTGCCACTTTTTGTCCCTTTGTCTAGCCTCGCAAAAAGTTCTGTCGATTTCAAAACTTTGCACAATGTCTTGAGAACTTTGGTTTTGGCTTCACAAAGATGTTCTCCCTATATACATTTTGGCATCTTTATTATTGCCAACAGTGCAGTCGTTTTCATATGATTTTCAAAAGGGCTACTCACCTGCCTTAGATCATTAAGACCTGTCCAGATATCAGTGGGTATTCCAGGGACTCGGCTGTTCACCAGGTCATATACAAATACATTCTCTTCCCAGCTGGAAAAAATAGGGATGTGCGATCCATTAAAAAAATGCTTCAAAAGTACTTACAAACCTGAGCGGCGCTGATGTTTCATTTCTAAAGTATACTTAGTGAAAAACTTGTTACTGTAATGAGAGTAACAAAATTTCATTACTATTGTGTTACAGTAATTGCTCATGCACATAATTAAATTACTATAATTGAGGAAACTTCAGGGGCTCCTTTCTCCCTCATTTTTACAGGTATTGGAATGAAACAGCCTACAATGGTAGAAGACATTTACCACTGTTAGCCCATCAAATTTCAAAATGTTTCATTTGTCCATGGAATTTTGGGGAATTTTCAAAGTTTTTATAAACATTTTTTAAAAACCTACAAGAGCTATCTTTTTGAATTGTATATACAATGCACAAAATAACCAGGGCATCAATCCTCAAAAGTTTCAGAAAGATTCACACATCTACATATTTTGGGAGATTTTTAAAAGTTTAGACCAAAACAATTTATCTCCCCAAAAAGCAACCACAGCAATCCCTTTGAATGTTTGTCTGTCTTTATGACATACAACCATATAACTTCAACTTAGCACAGATTTATACTATTACTTATTTTAGTCCTCTTTGCAGATTCAATGATTTTATTTATTACTAGCCGTCCCCTGCCACACGTTGCTGTGACCCAGTCTGATGATCTGGAAAATATAGTAACGAGAAAGTGTTGGTTTCTAATATATGTAATGTCTTTCTGCTTGTGGGTAAACAGTATTTCTTGTTGTTTCTTTGTCAGTGTTGATATGGAGATTGCCTGCTTTGCCTAGTCTAGAACATGCAACATATTATTGTCCTTCTTTAGAGATCCCTTTCAAATCTATGATACTATATCTGTATGTGTGGGAATCATCTATCTATATCTATGGCTGGATGGCTCTTTGTTAGGAGGGCTTTGATTATGTTTTCTTGCCCTGGTGAAGAGAGTTGGACTGGATGGCCTTAAGTATTTTCTGTTGGTCATCGGGGTTCTGTGTGGGAAGTTTGCCCCAATTCTGTCGTTGGTGGGGTTCAGAATGCTCTTTGATTGCAGGTGAACTATAAATCCCAGTAACTACAAATCCCAAATGTCAAGGTCTATTTCCTCCAAACTCCATTTGTGTGCATATTTGGGCCTATGGAATATTCAAGCCAAGTTTTGTCCAGATCCATCATTATTTGAGTCCACAGTGCTCTTTGGGAGTTGTAGGTGAACTACAACTCCCAAACTCAAGGTCAATGCCCACCAAACCCTTCTAGTGTTTTCTGTTGGTCATGGGAATTTTGTGTTGAACGTTTGGTGGAGTTCAGAATGCTCTTTGATTGTAAGTAAACTAAAAATCCCAGCAACTACAACTCCCAAATGACAAAATCATAATGTTTTGAGTGATGGTCACTCCTTGTGTTGTGAGACATTTTGTTGCCAAATTTGGTGTGATTTCGTTCATTGGTTCTTTTGTTTTTAAGGTACTCATTATGCACAGAGCATTTATATATATATATAGATTATTATTATTAGACTGACTCTAAAGAGCTGGCTGCTGCAGCCCAATGCTGAGCATTGCATTCTGGGAAATGTAGTTTAGGGCAGGGCCTTTTGCCTTTTCTGCAACAAGGGGCCTACCTTCCTAAACTACATTTTAAAGCTTGCTGTTTTCTTAGTCTCCCACCCATTAGCTTTAGTCCTGCCTGCAGTGCTTTAATTGTGGCGATTGGGTCAAAGAAAAAGGATTGGTTTTTAAAGCACTTTATGTTCTCTTGGCTTTACCAAAGTTGAGTAATGCTCATACTGAAAATGGAACTGACCTTGAGAGACATCCGAATGTTACAGAACATTAACGAAAATGATTGTTGAGTGTTTCAATTTCAGAATCCCACCCACCTTTCCTGCATGGTTCTAATATCACGTTGTATGCACAAATTTAACTAATTTGATCCGAAATACAAATTAAAAATGAAATTATGCCCCCCCCCCCCCAGTAAAAAGGCATGGGCGCAAACAACAACAATTGAAAAGTCCCAGGAGGTTGGGCTGCTGATAAGAAGAACAGATTCGCTGTGACAGCCTCATTTGGAGATTTCACAGCTTTCAGAGATTGAGTGCCCCTTATCTCAAATGCTTGGAATCAGAAGCATTTTGGATATGAGTTTGGGTTATTTTGGAATGCTTATATTTGCATATACGTACATAATGACATGACAATGAGATCCAAGTGGAACCCATTTATATTTCATTTACACCTTAGACACATAGCCTGAAGGGAATTTGATATTATATATATTTAGGAATTTTGAGCATGAAACAAAGTTTGTTACAATGAGCGGTTGGGGAAGCCAAGGCATTACTACAGCAGCCACCCATGCGGATAATTTTTGGTTTTGGACTACAGTATTTTGGATTTCAGAATCCTAGATGAGGGGGGCTCAAGGTGTATTAACAAAGTAACACTGAATTCAATGGGGAACTGCTTCTAACTAAATAACACATATGCTGAAACAATGTAGTGTAATGCTTTGAGTTTTGGACTTCTCCTGTTTTCTGAGTGCTGTTCTTTATTTACTGTCCTGATTCTAGAGTTTATTCATTTATGCTAATGGCTGCTTCAGTCAGATGCTTCACCAGATCATTTCTGATAGCAAGAAGACAGGCGGACAAATATCAGCATGCTGGAAGAAGCAAAGACCACCAGTGTTGAAGTGATGGTCCTCCGCCATCAATTCCGCTGGACCGGCCACGTTGTCCAAATGCCTGATTACCGTCTCCCAAAGCTGTTGCTCTACTCCGAACTCAAGAACAGAAAACGGATTGTTGGAGGACAGGAAAAGAGATTTAAAGATGGGCTCAAAGCCAATCTTAAAAACTCTGGCATAGACAACGAGAACTGGGAAGCCCTGGCCCTTGAGCGCTCTAGCTGGAGATTAGCTGTGACCAGCTCTGCTGTAAAATTTGAAGATGCACGAATGGAGGGTGAAAGAGAGAAATGTGCCAAGAGGAAGGCGCGTCAAGCCAACTCCAACCGGGACCACCTTCCACCTGGAAACCAATGCCCTCACTGCGAGAGAACATGCAGGACAAGAATAGGGCTCCAAAGTCACCAAGTACCCACCGCCAGGACACCAAACTTGGAGGACAATTTTACTCAGACAACGAGGGATCGCCTAAATAAGTAAGTAAGTCTAGAATTTTTTAACAGGGGAAGTCCAGACTGGAAACAATCAGGGTCAGCTAACATCTCCCAACAAAGGATTCCCCCAGACAGGAAGCAGCCAGGTTTTGAAGCTGCAAGGCCAATTGCAACATTCACACCTGCCTCAAATTGACAACAGTTCTTTTTCCCACCCTGGACATTATTCCACAGATATAAAAACCTCACTTGCCTAGTTTCCAACAGACCTCACAATCTATGAGAATGCCTGCCATAGATGTGGGTGAAATGTCAGGAGAGAATGCTTCTGGAACATGGCCAGACAGGCCAGAAAACTCACAGCAACGCAGTGATTCCAGTCATGAAAGCCTTCGACAACATCATGCCTATGGTTTGCTCCTTACCTGTGAATGGATGCCAGTTTGGCTGATTTGAGACCAATGGAAAACTCTGCACAATATAAGTCAGCCTCTGCCCACGTTTTATTGATGGGAAAATATCTGTAACAATAGCCTTCATATTCAGTCCAGAAGAGAGGACAGGAGTAGGACAGGATTGGTTCTGGCAAAGCTAGAAGGAGGAAGCAGAGGCATTGATGAGAGACAGGCAGCTCCAAATTTCGCACTTGGAAGAGCCGTTAGTCCATTTATTCTCAGTCCTGGGAGCACAGAAGGGCACAGGGGTCAAGGAGCATGTCTGCCTCGACCACAGCAAGCCCTGTTCTCAACACAGCATCTGTCAGGCCTTTGTGTGCTGACACCACCGCTTTTGGACAATGCAAGGAGTGGGGAAGAGGGAAAAGAAGTGCAAGCGGAAACACAAAGATAAACAGTCCTGTAACTGTAGATTAGATAAAGCCTTTTGACTCATTAAAAGCCATGCCCATCTTCAGGGCATGCATTTAGGTCAGTCATGTGGACCTGACAACAATTGTCATTGAAAGCTTTGAAAGTGTAAACTTTCCAAATGCTTCAGCAAGTATTAAATTCTGTGGGGAGCAATCATTTGCATTTAGGTCTCTCTCACGTTTATTAGTGACTCGCTTAGGTACCCCGCAATGCCCGATTTAAGTCTTTTTGTAATGTGATTTATGAGATGTAACCATTGATTCTTTTGGAGGGTGGGTTATGAATTGTCCCATTAGAAAATGCATATGGATGTAGGTGAACTACAATTCCCATCATTATTTGTGATTGTCCCCAAACTCAAGCAGTAGTTAAGGTTAGTCATGATGAGTATGTCTGCCAAGTTTGGTCCAGATCCATTGTCAGCGGTGTTCACAGGTTTCTCTGGATGTGGGAACCATCTTGAACAATACATACAAACATAGGTAGGTAGATAGCTATATATATACATTACATATATACATATTTTGACTTTTATTATACACATAGATTTTTTTTTCATATCAGGAGTGACTTGAAAAACTGCAAGTCGCTTCTGGTGTGACAGAATTGGCCATCTGCAAGGGCGTTGCCCAGGGGATGCCCAGATATTTTGATGCTTTATCATCCTTCTGGGAGGCTTCTCTAATGTCCCCGCATGGGGAGCTGGAGCTGACAGAGGGAGCTCATTCACTCTCTCCCCAGATTAAATGCTGGAATAAATGCTTGTATGTGGCAGAAACAAATTATACTTTACTGTGCTTGTCTTATTCACAATCCCATCTCCCCCAAGTTATTGTGACATAAAGACTTGGGAAGGTTCCCAAATACAAGGATTATTTATTTGTTTGTTTGTTTGTTTATTGTGTCAGAAGCAAATTGAAAATACAGTTATAATGTATAGAAAAACCACAAAGTTAAAAACTTGACATTATGCTACATATCCTTTGCCCAGAAGCTCGCCAGTTGGAATGCCTCTGGTGTCTCTGTAAGAAGATCCTCCTTTGGGCTTGTGGCAGGGCTCAACCCGCATTGTAGTAGGTGGTCTGTGGTTTGCTCTTCTCTACACCCAAATGTTGCGGACTCTACTTCGTACCCTGTTTCCTAAGATTGGCTCTGCATCTTGTGGTGCCAGAGTGCAGTCTGTTTAGTGCCCTCCACGTTGCCCAGTCTTCTGTGTGCCCAGGAGGGAGTTTCTCATCCAGTCTCAGCCACTGATTGAGGTTCCAGGTTTTCGTCTGCAACTTTTGGACTCTTGCTTGCTGAGGTGTTCTTGTGAATGGCTCTGTAGATCTTAGGAATCTATTTCTTGATTTAAGATGTTGGCATGCTGGCTGATATCTGAACAGAGGATGGGCCAGAGATGTCAATACCTTGGTCCTTTCATTACTGGCTGCTACTTCCCGACAGATGCCAGGTGGTGCAATACTGCCTTAACAGTATAATTTCTCCTGCGATGTTGGGTGTAGACATCCAGTGATAGTGTGGCATGTCTCATTAAGAGACACATCCACTGCTTTAATATGGCGAGATGTATTTCACACTGGGAATGTGTATTCAGCAGCAGAGTAGCAAAGCCCAAGGGCAGATGTCTTCACTGTGTCTGATTGTGATCCCCAGGTTGTGCCAGTCAGCTTTTGTATGATAGACACTCCTCCTCCTCGCTTTCAGCCATCAAAGTGGTATCATCTGTCTATCTAAGGTTGTTAATGTTTCTTCCAGCAATTTCAACTCTAGCCTTAGATTCATCAAACCTTGCACATCACATGATGTGTTCTGCATACAAGTTGAATAGGTAGGATGAGAGTAGACAGCCCTGCCATACACCTTTCCCAATCTGAAACCAGTCTGTTTTTCCATGGTCTGCTCTTACAGTTGCTACTTGGTCATGATACAGATTCCTCAGGAGACAGACAAGGTGACTTGGTATCCCCATACCACCAAGGACTTGTCACAATTTAGTATGATCTACACAGTCAAAGGCTTTATAATAGTCAATAAAACAGAAACAGATGTTTTTCTAGTTTAGGAGTATTATAGGACCATTCCACACTATGTGCGTCAAGACAGTAACTTAGGTCCTAACACAAATTTTCTGTGTGTTGACTTTTGAAAAGCTACTTTGAGTCTCCTTTGGTAGAGAAAAAGTGGGATATAAGTACTATTCCTACTCCTACAACTAATAATAATATTCTCTTCAGCAAATGGCTTCTTAACCCCAAGTCTCATGGAAAAATGAAGAAACCGGAGCCATTCAACCTTGTGATGTGCTCCACCAACTTATCCCAGCAGGTCCCCATTAATTTGATTAGCTCCAGTGCGCAAGAGGTGACTCCAGGAATGTTGAGGTTAAATGTGACCGAGAAGAAAGGGGAACAGGCCAATCCCTTATTAGCACCTTGCTTGTCAAATTGTCAGTCATTTGAAGACTAGCCATGAGCCTTTTGAGCTCACATGGGGGAATAATGATCAAAGATATCTTAATTGCCCTTGGGTTGATTTGCTATTCCTACTCTAAAATGAAGGCAAATAAGGAGGATCAATAGGCATAAGATTGGGGTGAGGTTTTTTTGGTCGTGTCAGGAGCGACTTGAGAAACTGCAAGTCGCTTCTGGTGTGAGAGAATTGGCCGTCTGCAAGGACGTTGCCCAGAGGACGCCCAGATGAATTTATGTTTTTATCATCCTTGTGGAAGGCTTCTCTCATGTCCCCGCATGAGGAGCTGGAGCTGATAGAGGGAGCTCATCTGCCTCTCCCTGGATTCGAACCTGCGACCTGTTGGTCTTCAGTCCTGCCAGCACAGGGGTTTAACCCACCGCACCACCAGGGGCTCCTATTTGGGTGAGTTGATCACCAGCAAAAGTCCGCAGTTTGATGAGTCTAAAACAGGTCTAAGCAAACTTCAGCCTTCCAGATGTTTTGGACTTCAGCTCCCACAATTCTTAACAGCTATTTTCCATTTACTCTCTCAACATAGTAGCTACGGTTTCAGTAAATTAAAAGATTTCAGTAAAGTTTAAAAGTACATGATTAAAAAGATGACCTCAAGCCATTTGTTGTCTCATTGCATGGCAGCTGAATAATAATCCAGAACTCCATGGCCACTTAATAATACAAATAGATGCACATAATTCATTCAAACAGTTGCCTGGAAATGAAATGAAAGAGATTTATTCAATGGACAAATAATACCAGGCATACTGTAATAATGCCAGCAGTCCCAGTTGATAAGGCATTTGCTGTGTAAATATATTTTTAACACAGTTTGGAAATGTAACTTTCCCAGGATTTGCATTTTTTTTGTATGAAGCAGAGACAGTATTTGTCAATGGAATCAGTGAGAAAATTGAAGAGAGTTTTCAAAACTTTCTGAGTTACCTTTTTATCAGTATGTCTTGATTCCTACACAGTCATCGATTAATACCAATTATTGTCATTTAATAACACTATCTAAAAAAATCTGAAAAGAAATTCTGTTCCTGGTGTGATTTCCTGTTCCATTGTGCAGTCCTTACTTTGAAAGTACTTGTTCTACTCCAGAAACTTTGTTTTTGTGGCTGCCACAAACTAG